TAAAATTCACAAACCTGGGAACCCGGGTAGACCCATCATTAACTCGATCAACCACCCGACGGAGAAAATTTCCCAGTTTGTTGAGTTCCACCTCCGACCATTCGTGGAACATTTACCATCTTTTTTAAAAGACACCTCAGACTATCTAAACAAAACACCTGTTAAGAACTTACCAAAAGGTACCTTGTTAGTTACGATGGACGTCGTTTCCCTCTACACTAACATACCACATGACGGCGGCATTGCTGCCTGTCGCGGGGCATGGGAACGGCGCAGTACCAAACACCCATCGACTGATAGCCTGGTGGATTTACTGAGACTTGTCCTCACTTAACAACTTTACATTCAATGAGGATAACTACATACAAGTTAGCGGTACAGCCATGGGTACTAAGATGGCCCCTCATATGCCAATGTTTTTATGGGACACCCTGAAGCCCAACTTTTAACATCTGCTCCAATTAAGCCATTTATCTGGTTGAGATTTATCGATGACATTATATATCAAATGAACATCGGGTCGGAATTTCCCTTGACGAGTTTATTGAGTACGCTAACGCGTTCCACGCCACCATCAAATTCACAGCGGATATCTTCACGGAGAGCAACACATTTTTGGACACCAGTTCCACTCTGATTGATGGTAAGATTAGAACGGACCTCCACTGTAAACCTACTGACACACACCAGTGTCTCCTCCCATCCAGTTGTCACCCCTCGCACACCACGAGAAGCATACCCTACTCCCAAGCTCTGCGCATCAGGCGTATTATTTCGGATGACATCATCTTTGAACGCAGATGTTCAGAGTTAAAGTCCCATCTCCTTGGCAGAGGATACAAATCTCCTTTGATAGATCGGGAAATAGACAAAGTGAGGGTACTGGACAGGGCAAGTCTGCTTGTATACAAAGTCAGACCCCAAGCACAAAGGGTACCTTGTGTAGTCATGTTCCACCCAGACATGCCGCCACTCCAATCTATCTTGAAAAAGCACTGGCGCATCATCGAATCTTCAGCGAAACATAGGCAGATCTTTCCAGAGCATATCGTAGACCTAAACACATTAGAGATCTTGTGGTAAGCAGCAAGATACCTACACCTAACCCTGCTGCGGCGAAATACTCTTTCAATACCTGTAACAAGAAGGTGTGCAAACTGTGTCCATACACGCGCTCCACAGATACATTTCAATGTACAATCAACGGCAAAGTGTATCACATACTACAAACACTGACATGCACATCAGTCAATGTGGTGTACCTTATTACCAGCAAAAATTGCAATTTTCAGTACGTGGGCGAGACCTGCACCCAGCTCAATATCAGAATCAACAACCACCGCTGCTCCATCAAGCAGAACAAACCAGACTTGCATGTGGCAAGGCATTTTAATATGCCTAGCCACAGTTGGAAAGACATGCAGGTTGTGGTCATAGATCATTGCCCTACATGGGATGAGACGAGACGACGTACGAGAGAACGGTTTTGGATAACCAATCTACAAAACCGCTACCCTCGAGGTATGAACGAACGATAGGCGGTTGCCATCCGCTCGTTTTCCTTCCAGGGGGCATTTGACCTAATGGTGCATTACTGCACAGTTGGTCTGCTATCTCGCCTGCCTGCTGCTGCATGTCAGTGTGTGTGACCAACAGCCGTTGTCAGATTAATTTTGAAGATTGATACAGTATCTTAGCCATTTCATCTACTTATTCCTCCTGCACTCACTTATTTGATAATTACATGCATTATTCCTGCAAGCATTATTCCTTCAAATCGAAAGAGGCGACTAAGTGTGGACCCCCTGCTGTGAATGTGAAATCCACTGCATAATTGAGAGGCGACTAATGAGGGCATTCCGTAGGAATTTGAGATTTTTCGTATTTACCGGGCCGGATTCCAACATGCACATGTTCCACGTTTTTGATATCTCGTCCCTTCTTTCTGGTGCTTATCTCTCGTTGACTCACCTTATGTGATAGTGCATCTTGCGCAAGAATAGGTCCTCTACATCAGCGTTCCTTGTCCGCGATGTTCTCAGCTTAATTGCTGCCTTCGGCTGTCTTTAGCCGAGGGAACTATTGTTTTTTTTGTTTTTTTTTATATATATATATAATAGCTTTATTTTCAATTATAGTATATCAGTTCTATCTTCTTGTAATATGATGTATATGTAAATGTACAACCTAAACTTGTCCACACTGTTGGAATTACTTCTTTGCCCAATAAAGTATTAGTGTAGGTATATATATATTTGAATGGAATTGTTCTCCGCTATCTTGTACATTACATATGAATTTTGAATATGTAACTATATATATCTGTATCCTATATGCTTTATTGCATTTGTATATAATAAAACTTGGAAACTTGTTAGCTCGAATCGGCGTTGCAGACAATTCAAGATGAACAGTTGAAAACCGTCAGGTAACTACAGTATTGAACAAGCCCACATATACATATACGTAACAGCTTTCTTTAATGCTTCTTATCAAGGCTGATTTTTTTATTAATAATATTATTATTTTCTTTATTTCCTCAATTTGAAGATTACATTTAAACAGAATAATGCGAACATATTCACATTACAAAATAATCATATTGAATACACATAAGCACCAAATAACATACATGACATATACACACTTAATTACATTGAAGTCATACATTCAATAAATATCATTAATAAGTGTACATATGATGAGGTAATACATCGCATTTTCAATTCCTAGAGTCACAGAGAAATTCACTGATGATTTCCTTAAGTCTCTAGACACTTAAAAACAGCAAGTTCTCATTTGCCAATATATATATTAAATTTGAGTGTAACAACTGGTAAATTTCCTAGCCAATGGAAAACTTCAAAAGTAATACCACTGCACAAAGGTGGGTCAATGTCGGATAAATCAAATTACAGACCGATTTCGGTCTTACCAATTATGTCTAAAGCTCTAGAAAGACATATTCATAATAGTTTTTATGCTTTTTTTAAATGGACAAAATCTACTAGTTGCCTCACAATCAGGATTTCGCAAACATCACTCCTGTGAGACTGCCCTTCTCAGTATTGTCAATAATTGGGCAAAAGAAATTGACAATGGAAATATCAATGGTGTGTTTTTTATAGATTTTAGAAACGCCTTTGATATGGTCAACAATAAAGTGTTAACTCAAAAGCTAGCATTATATCAATGTGATTGCACATCTTTGAATTGGTTTAAATCTTACCTTTCAGATCGATTTCAAAAGGTTACTGTATCAAGTCAAATCTCTAGCAGTAAGCCTATTACACATGGTGTACCACAGGGGTCCATATAAGGTCCTGTCATGTTCCTTAGTTTTATAAATGATTTGCCACTTAAACTTCAGTCTTCCACTGATATGTATGCCGACGACTCAACTTCAAGTGCGTCAGGTTGTTCTATTCCTGTTGTACAGGAGCAGTTGCAACCAGACCTTATCAAAGTTCAAGAGTGGTGTTGTGAAAATAAGCTATGGTAGGGTAAATGAAACAAACTGTGGTATGTAAAATGACATAAGCTATGGTAACGTAAATGGCACATGCTGTGGTAGGGTAAATGACACAAGCTGTTGTACGGTAAATGACACAAGCTGTGGTAGGATAAATGACACAAACTGTGGTAGGGTAATTGACACAAGCTGTGGTAGGGTAATTGACACAAGCTGTGGTAGGGTAATTGACACAAGCTGTGGTAGGGTAATTGACACAAGCTGTGGTAGGGTAATTGACACAAGCTGTGGTAGGGTAATTGACACAAGCTGTGGTAGGGTAATTGACACAAGCTGTGGTAGGGTAATTGACACAAGCTGTGGTAGGGTAATTGACACAAGCTGTGGTAGGTTCGCAAGCTGTGATAGGGTAAATGACACAAGCTGTGGTAGGGTAAATCGTGTGCAACCACGTCATTCGACATTTTGAAATTTGATTTGTATACTTGACTTTAGTATAGCTGACAGGATTTATAGCACGGCATTTATTTGAAAATCATCAAAAGAATTGGACCATTCGTGAAAAAACCTGAATTTTCGTGACCCATTTTTGTGCAATACAAGTTTTCCTGGCTGAAGAATTTAATCATAAAGATTGGACAAGTTAATAAATTGTTCTATCGGTATATAGACCGAAATCCGAGCACTCTTTTCATAAACCGTTCAGCTTCGTTGTTGGGTCTATGTATCGACCCAAAACCGATTTATTATCTAGTCCAGTAAAATACCCGTAAACGATCATAAGTACAGTGTAGGTAATGTTTGTCACCCTCTTAACGAACTAGCCGCTTCCTACCGACTCGGCTAGGGAGAATTTTTCCATAGATATTTCGGTAGAGCGTAAGACTAGTAAGCTATATGTTCTGGGTTCGACTCCTCGTGGAAGCATTGACAAAATAATTATCTCTAGTACATTGGTGCCCACGCAGGGACTCGGGAAATATTGACATCTATGCTCAACGACACTTTCACTAGAATCGCTATGACCCTTGGAAAACTCAGGACGAGTTCTTTCCTAAAGGGGGAGTATGTCACCCTGGTAAAACACTAGCCGCTCGGAGAGACATTCGGTAGAGTGTTAGACTAGTAAGTAGGAGGCCCCGGGTTCGACTCCTAGTGGTGGAATTCGAAACTAATCACCTCTGTTACATGTGTTACTGTAAAGTACATCATAATGTAATTGAGTGTGTGTTCGAGTGGTGCAGTGAATAGCGCACTTGTCTTTCACCATGGCGGCCGGTTCCCCGATCGGACATGAAAAGGTTGGGGTCACCTGCCCGACCACGTGTGGGTTTTCTCCAGGGACTCCGGTTTCCTCCCACACTGAGACCCCCCCCCACACACACACACACACTAACATCCGGGCCAACAATTGTGATTAATATAAGTTGAAATAACTTGTTTGTAAGTTTATATTCATAATTTTATTGATATCATCAGTATCTTTAAGGGAATTACACTATATTTACTAATACTATACAACTTTCTGTACCAATAGAAATATATCATTATAGGTTAATAATTACGACATACAACATTGGCATAGTTCCCTATTTAATTTGCAAAATTACTCTAAGGCGCTTTACAGTACATGAATAATAGTATTCTAACAGTGACCGTTATACATATAGTATATAGAAAGGGTCTACAAATCAGCATTTTACATCAGGTAAAATTAAAATTATCGCCATATGCATATAAACATGCATACCTATATACAAGTGAACTGATGTCTCTTTGCTTCAGCTCCACATTGAGGACGAGTACCTGGAGGGTGGCCGGAGACTGTCGATCGAAGGCTATCTAAAAGGACGAAGGAGATCCTCTATGCGTAGGGGAAGCAGCATCCTGGACCAGTCACAGCTACAGAAAGGTAGCATCAAGCCGAAAAATCCATTTGAGATTTACTCATCTGAGCCACTGTGGGAGAAATACGAAGATCAACCAGATATTCCGGATAGATGGCGAGGCAACACTATAGATAAGGGGTAATGGCATTCATTAATGGATTCACTTCTCAATTTGTTAGGCGTATCATTGGCTATTCCTTAAAAAAAATCACAGAAAAAAAGGAAATAGTACATATTGCCATATTTCTGATCTAGTCTTACAGGAAATGGGACACCGGAAATGCTGATCATTACAAGCTTCGTGCTCTACCTGTTACAGACTAAATTAATCAAAAGTACCGGGTGTTAACTTAAAACTCGGCTTTAAAACTATTTGACTCCATCGTTTCTTGTCAAAATGAGCGAAGAGAGAGGGATAACAAATTCAGGTTTATTCCATTTTTACGTTGTACTAATTCATCACTAGAAAAAAGACGCAAGAAAGAATGTATTTTGAAAAACATGTTGATACAGAAAGCCAAACAACAAAATCAGTGTTATTCCTCCATATGGTCATTTCTTTCATTCAGAACTCAATGTTATTAAGGTCAAAAGAATGAATATCTATGTTAAAAGTCTTCCGAAACATATCTAGAAACAGTATAACGAAAAGACACCTATAAATAGTTTTGAGCTACAACTATCTAGATTTTCCCACTTACTTTAATGTCAGTTTTGAAGAATTTGAATAATTTACAATAGATTTTCACAATAATTACCACACATCCTACGCTTGTCGTACTTATAATACTTAAAACATTTTTTTTCTGAAAACAATTTGACAGTATTGATGATTTTGTCAAAAGCGTTCTAAGGACGTTGTTCTAAATGCTATTTGTAGGAGGTCATTTTCAACATCTTTTGTATGTTTAAATCGGTTCATATCGGCATGTTTCTGGAAGACCTTATGAGGTTTTGACTGAATATGGCATGACTAACCCATGTTTGACTGTAGCACATTTACTTCATTATTCCTACCAGGCGTGGGGTAACCAAAGCTGATATGAAAATGCTTCCCTGGCCATGAAGTGCTGCTGTCATTTATTGAGTTGATTCACAATCCAAAATGACAACCTCTTGTTTTTTACAAATTTCCATTAACCAAACATAGAGCAATTTTTCCTGTCTTTGGCATAGGCGAACATTACGATCCCGATTGGTCTCTTCTGTGTAAGGTGTCTGATCACTTACGTTATATATTGGTATTACCCTGGTTCCCGTTGTTGTCCGTTTATATAAACATTTGACTTAATGTTCTGTATTATTAACGCCCTGGTGTATTTTCTCATGTTTTACTTCTTGCAGTCTTATATTTGTCTATAAACTGTTGTGTAAACCATTTTATAAAATTCTCGGTTTTGTGAAAACAACAATATCAGAAGGTCTATGTATACCCTAACGACACTATCTACAAACTATTGGTCAATCATCATCATCATCATCATCATCATCATCATTTTGCTTGTTAAAGGTAACACATTTCATTACAGAATCATTCGACATTGTGGTCATCATTACACCTTCATATATCTTATTTACAGACGGACTGCAGCCAAGTTGTTAAACTGCGTATTTACGTTTTGGCATCAAAAATGGAAGGGATAAATCTTCAAAAAGACCATTCCTCTTTTCACGTGCCTCACTGCATACTTTACCTCTGCATGCTTAAGTGAAAGTATCAACTTTGTAATGCCAAAAGTTTACTTAATACTGTATATTTATATTGCATGCTTTAGATACCGGATATAACATTAAGAATATATTTTCACGGATGTACAAGGAAATGATGAACATTAACATGTCTGTTGTGTCATTGCAGATCACTCTATTCATTGAAGAAAGAACAAATTGCTGGACGTGAGTTACCGTTCCTGGTCAACCATCTAGTGAAAAAAGACGAAACGAATGTCATCAACAATGTGGAACAAAAGCGTGAGAGGGACTACATATCTCGTAGTCATTTGACGGACAACACCCAAACCAAATTCAATCACGCTGTGCTCAAGCACTTTTACAAAGCTCCAGCTCCTCGCGCACATCCGGGATACGGTATGCCTAGACCAGAAACATCCGAACAGAGTCCCTTTCGTCTCTTAATGAAGGACTTGGAACGAGATCCGAGTGTCGTGGCCATAAGCAATTATCCGTCCCTGACCGTTCCTCCTACTTGTTCTAAATCTGTGGGATTTTGTGAAATCCTAGGACCAAGTGCATGCGCTCTTTGCATTGAAGGTTCAAATAGGTTTATCGGTGAAGAACTCCAGAAAATTATCTTTCCGGAAATTGAGATGACGGCAGCTAAACTTGTACAACCAAAACTTGCCAAGGTAATGCGTGAAGGTCATATGAATCAGATGAGGAAACGTAGGCTGCGCGAGCTCCATTTCCCCGCGTTCCTGTTACCCCTTAAGAGACAGGAGTCCAACCTGCTGGGGAAGAAAATGTCTGCCCTAAGAAGGGAACGCTCTAAGCTGAGCTCGGGTCCTTCCAAGCACAGTTCCTATAGTGTTTCCTCTCGAACAACACATCTCTCAGCCGTCCACGAGGAGAAAGCCTGACGCGTTCCGGTTGCCGCAACACATATTTATCTTAAGAATAAGAATCTCAAACTTTCCGAGATTCTATTGCGCAATGCCATTGGTCACAGTATTGATAAGAGTATACTTGACTTCCTTACATGTACTGAACAATACAAACATGAGTAATCAATATCATGTTTCGTCGACCCAATATGAACTAAACCAGATGACTTAAGGGCGAGTTTACATCCTCATAGAAATTAAGGTTAATATCATTATCCCTTGTTTCCTTATGAACACAAGCTATTTGTCATAGAATGGAGAATATTTGAATTACGGAAATACTCTGTCCACGAGTTGAAATACACATTTAATGTTCATAAAGAATCAAGTGAAATAATGTTACATTTTCAAATGATATTTCATCGACCATTTTATAATGTCGACACTATTAAATTACTTGGATTTCTTTCTTTTTATTTTCCGTCAGTAATTTACTGTGCAAAATAAAAGCAAGATGTTGGTAGTAGAAAAAATATTCACTTTATTTTGATAAAACCCCATTGTCACTGGTAAATGTGTATTATTTGAGATTATCCATAAATTAACACCTCTGTTGATCTCTTCATCCCATTTGTGGTTCAACCTGCATTTTTGTTGTCAATGTTACAAGGCTGCTTTCAATCTGTTGATGTCCAACGGGAGTGAATAGGAGAGATAAACGGGAAAGTGAATCTAAAACATCTTAAACTCACTGCACTTTATCAGAGGCGTAGCGATCAGCTGATCAATGTAAGCCGTTAAATCAACACATACACACAAACGTATGGGAGAATGAAATCATTCTATAAATAGACAAAGACCATGAAAACCATTGTTCTTCTCGTCGCACATGGTCAGGAAACCGGCAATATGAGTGGACCCATGACTGCATTGATTCATNTAACAACAATGGGTTTATGGACATATTGAATGAATCGCGTTAGCGATTCATGTAAAATATGTCCAAAAACCCATTGTTGTTATGACCTCATAAATGTTGAAAAAATAAATATCATTCCTTATATTTACATTGACGAATCCTTTCAGTGGATCGATATAACAACGAATAAAACAAATAAACAGGGTTTGTTCCTGCTTATACACGGGTGCAACGCAGTGGCGAGAACAGTGTTTTTTCGCGGGGAAATGTGACACTATCGTGAGAGATCTTAGCAACCGTCAACAACAATAACACAACAAAATGTAGTTCCATATTCAATGTTTATTTGTAGCACAGGACACGTGAATACGTGGATATTTCACAAAGCACAGTTCAATAATATTTTAAGATGTAAGAATTAAGCATCTAGGTCAGTCGTTACGAGTGAGTAGTTTTTGTAGTGTATTACTACGCAGTGTGATCAGGTTACTATCAGTTCCCACGTGCTGAGATTCTATGAACACCTGTGTTATGCATTTATGAATGCAATTTTTGTCAATGGGTCTAAGCATACAGAATGTAAATATTCTATTATAATGAAATCAGAAGTGACAATATATGTTTGATTTAATACTAAAAAAAACACCAATACGTTTGTGTTTCAATGATAAATATTTTGAACAATGGTCGTCTTAAATTGATGTATCTGAATTAAATGGTATATTTTTCATATAGATGAACAACGTGTTATTGCAGATTAATGCTTGACTATATTATCTTGTAAATATATATTATTACACTTATCAAGTTGGAACATGTGGAACATCCAATACCTTCAATTTTCAGACCCATTTCATGCAAATATGTAAACAGTTTTCCGAATGGGAGAGCTTGACGCTTTGGTTCAATGTCAGCCGACGTCATACCAAACATACGGCTGATTTCCTGATTAATAGCTTCCTTCTTGTCGTTCTGTCCAACTTTAGCTTTTACTAACTTCCAAACTTGTTCTGTAATATAAGATCACAATAATGAAACATAAACAATAATAGCATTATTATAAATAGTATTTATAATCATTTGCATACATTTGTAAACATGTACAAGTGTAAAACTATTATAGCGTAAGTCAAAACTTGTGTTTGGTAGAAGTAGTAAATGATAAATTTGACAAATAGTTAATACATAATTCAGTAATTAATAAATAGAAATAATAGTTATACGTACTGACAATTTCTTCAAGCACATGATAAGCAGTCATGACGTAGTTTTCCCCAAAACGAAATCCTGTTCCAGACCCAGCAAGTTGGCCATACATTTTGATTTTGATGACTCCAACAGACTTGCGAAGTTTAGATTCTACCATCGCCTCATACAAAGCAAACGATACCGTGGTGTTTTCCGTCTTATGGTGATTTCCTGCGCCGCCTGGAAAAAGTTTAAATATAAATTACGAGTTTACTTGATGTCATACTTAATAGACATTTAAATTATCTAGTCATATTGAAATTAAAACATTTGACTTGTGTATCATAAAGGTTTGTTTGAGGGCGACATTAAAGAGACATCGTGACCTTGATGATTTCGTGTTTTACTTTATATATGTGTGACTTAACATAAAGTTAAATTATTAAATTCTTGGATAATACACTAACCTGATGTGGCAGCATCTAGCTCTGGCTGCACCGTAGTTCTTGTAGGTACGACGTCAATTCCTACAATCGAAATATTAAAATCAAAACTGACAACACAAAAATTGTATAAACATGCACTATGTAGGAGTATAAATAATATTTATCTTAAAATTAGATTAAGAACTAAGGCCACGCATATGCAATTTACTTAATCACAAAATAAATCAATGTTGAAGCATGTAACCGATAGGAAATACTATATAAAAACAAACGAATAAATAAACTAAGTTTTATGTATTGACCATAATTTGTATTGATATTTATTTAGAAACATTTACATTGTCTAGAGTAAAAGTGAAAATTGTACATTAAATCATAATGATAAAAATGACTATCATTAAATATTGGCAAATTGATATATGGAGTATTGTCGCCGTTGTTTATCAAGTATTTTCAAAGCAATAAAACAAAACAATAGTTTTGACAAGGAAATGTAAATATATACTAGATAACAATCTAAAATAACGAACGCCGAGTGACGATGCTGCTGAAATTTGGCAAAACAAAGTATAAAGTACTACTTGACTATTTAGAACGGTTGCAAACATATCACATTTGTAAAGTCTCACTATCTTTATTTCTGTTATTTGTGGTTGTTTCCTTTTTCAAATAACATATTCAAATTTTTAGATTGCAAACAATGGTTAAAATAAATCAAATACAAACTTTACCTGACTGGCATTTCTGAATGTCTTCCTCAGCTTTGACGATCCTATCAAGCATTTGTTGTTTACCTTTGGGTGCAGTTTCCACTAAAAGTTTCAGTGTTTCTAGCTCTTTGCAGCTGATAACTCCTTCTCCTTCCAAATTCTGACATACCTCGAGAAAGGAAAGGTTTTCATATTCACCGGGGCCACTTAGATACGACGCTGCCTCTTGTCTGAAATGTTCCAGATTCGCGCCCATGTTTTTTTCGTTAAAGTGTGTTTTATTCATATCTGTCTTGAGGCGATTGTATATTCTTTTTTCCATTGCTACATCAATTTCTCAAATCCACAGTCTGAAAATGATAAAAGAAAGTAAGGTGTGTGTGTTATGAAAGCATCAGGAGGATGGTATAGATAAAGCAAGATGGAATGTAACGGGTTTTAAGAATGACGTCCTATGGTGAGATATACAGAAAGACTTGGTAAATCTCCCTTAAGAGTAACGTCCTACGTTAGAAATAAAATAAGGAAAGTAAAATGTCTGCTAGGAATGATATCCCCACTGATATTTAGGTATACTGTAAGTAGTGTAAACTGTCTGTCATGATTGACTCACTTAGGAAGATATCCAGACAACGAAAGTGTTATCTGTACAACCTGATTGACACCCTCAGTTAGGTGTTAAGTGTAAAGGAAGACAGAGTGTAAGATGTCTGCTACGACATCCAAAATTAGGTGTTTGGTGTAAAGGAATACTGTAAATGTCTGTGGTATGATGGACGTCTTAAGTTAGGTAAAAAGTGTAAAGGAGGTCTTTGTGTAAAATGTGTATAATGATTGACGTGTTACATATATACATATATATGTTAGTTGTAAAGGAAGACTGAGTGTAAAATGTCCGTTATGAGAGACGTCCTAAGTAAGATGTTAAGTGTAAAGGAAGTGTGAGTGTAAATGTCTGTTATGAGAGACGTCCTAAGTAAGATGTTAGGTGTAAAGGAAGACTGAGTGTAAATGTCCGTTATGAGATACTTCCGAAGTAAGAAATTAGGTGTAAAGGAAGACTTAGTGTAAATGTATGTTATAATAGACGTCCTAAGTAAGATGTTAGGTGTAAAGGAAGTGTGAGTGTAAATGTCTGTTATGAGAGACGTCCTAAGTAAGATGTTAGGTGTAAAGGAAGTGTGAGTGTAAATGTCTGTTATGAGAGACTTCCTAAGTAAGATGTTCGGTGTAAAAGAAGTGTGAGCGTGAATGTCCGTTATGAGAGACGTCCTAAGTAAGATGTTAGGTGTAAATGAAGTGTGAGTGTAAATGTCTGTTATGAGAGACTTCCTAAGTAAGATGTTCGGTGTAAAAGAAGTGTGAGCGTG